AACACGACCGGTCAACGAGGTATGTCAATCATCAGATTCCGCCGTACCACCCACGTCCATGGGTGCAAAATACTTCCCGTTAACACATTGGGTCAAGATAGAGTGGATGGTTAAATCGTATGTTGGATCTTTTAAGTTATGAAATGCGATTTGCAATGGGTTTAGTAAGGAATAAATAAGAATTGTAGGATCGTTGTCTACAACTGCCACACTTAGTTATGAAGCGTATGAAGGGGTGTAAGGGGGTCGGGAGTTGTGTCACGATGGTAAAGAATGTGTTAAATCTATTGTATTATTAAAACAGGTTTTCCTCACTGTTGATTAAAGGAACCACACTTTAAGCACTAAAAAAAATACGACAAACGATCAAATGAAGAAAACTTACTGTAAATAAAATTCCTCAAGGTTGGATTGTTAAATTATTAGAAATTAATAAATACACGGTGTTGAGTAATAATTTACTTGAGTTGAGTTATCATACTTGATGTCTAGTGAAATCTTCAGTGTCGACCGTGCAGCCATATCCAGTAAAATTTCTAAAACAAATTCAATTACGATGAAAATGGGCCAAAACACGAAGCCGCATGTATTCTACATGTATCCTGATAGTAAGCAGCCTATCAAAACCACCTTCCCCAACCTAAGATGTGATACGAATTCCTCCACACCCAGAGCCAGATTCCCTGTTGATTGTGATTTGCCCCTGGATTGTCCATTAATTGACCTGATCGCCCCGTGGCTGTGAGGTACCGTTGGGTGCTTCTGCCCCAGGTCAGGGCAGTTCTATAGTCATAAACCACGTAGCTTTAATTGGCTATTGGCTGTAGAACTGGACAATCCTGCCAGAGCACTTGGAGCAAAGCTATTAAAGGTTATTAGGGTACGAACACCGGTTTAGTGTACGTTATGTGGTTATTGTTGGCACATTGTGTAAAATGTGACGGTTAAGGCGGTGACACACTATCGATCTTTTCCCCGATCAAGACCCCGAACCGAGCAGGGAGAAGGGAGAAGGGAGATAAATATCAGCAAAATTTTACTCCGAACATTTCCCCGAACATGACCAAGACCAGACGAATTCTACCGAGCGCGGCAAAAGGAAGTTTGGAGAGAGATAGAGAGTGTGTGCGAGTGAGAGCGCGGAGGTTTCTATAACAAAAAGTTTCTATAACATAAAAATTATTGTTAAAAGTCGCATTTTGAAAACTTGTCGCAAAAATAAAATATTCTAGAAAGGATGCTTAGTTATATCTATTGATTTCTATTGGTTTTATTCATTGAAATAACGTTACAGAATGATCATTTTAATTGCCTTTAATAATATTAATGTTTATATTATTTTTGAAAGAATTTAAGTCAACATCAATTACTTAATTCAACCTTAATATTATTGATATAATTGATTTAACGGTTTCTACACTTTCAACCTTGACCAAACAAACCACAAACATTACATCTTAAATGATTATAATATATAATGGCAACATATTACCCAACATTTATTTATTTTACCAATTAAAGAGTTTAATTGCCATATTATTAAATCAGAACTATCAATGCTAACGCAGGCGGCCGCTCGGTGCGGCGCTCGCGACGATGTACGGGGCAAAAATGTACCGTGACACACTATCGTACATCGGACCGTACATCGGACCGATCTTTTCTTTGATCTTTCGCCAAAAAACCGCCTCCAGAGCGCTCGTCTCCCTGCTCGGCCTGATGTCTTGTTCGGCGTCTTGATCGGTGTACGGACCCGTGACACACTATCGAACATGCTCCCTTCGACCTCCCTTCTCCCTTCTCCCTGCTCGGTTCGGGGTCTTGTTCGGGGAAAAGATCGATAGTGTGTCACCGTCTTTATAGTACATGAACGTTTAAACATTCGGTAAGTGCTTTGAGGCAAATATTTAAGGTGTGTCATTATTATAGGGGTACTGTGGTTTTTAATGTATTGGACACGGATTTAAGAAAATTAGGATATTTTAATTTATACAATATGCTATTAGTATACCACAACTACCCTAACCATAATATTCTACCTTTCTACCACTGCACCTAAACCATATGAAAAAGTTAAGTTCTCGTTGTGGACAATAGCGTTTTGTTGCTAGTTGGTTAAAATTAGCTGTTGTCATAAAAATTAGTAGTTCTACACCCTGTTGGTAAACCTTATATCTTTTTAATGATACTTGATATCATAAACCGACTGGTGCAGTTGAAACAGTTGACAACATTCTTCAATTCCTTTTAAATATGAATACTCATAAGGTTAACGTGGGAAATTGCAGAGCCACTGGGGCGAAGCCCGAAAGGATTTTTGAGATAAGAATGTGTCTGTATAAAAATATATTAATCGGGAATGTGATCTATCATCAAACCGAATTTCAACCCTGTTGGTTTGGTTATTTTTTATGGTTTTTATGGATTTATGGTTTTATACAATCATGATTATAGTAATGTAATAACAAGATACCAGCACAGTTACAAACAACCATACACCTAAACTTTCACTTATAATATTAGTAAGATAAGATTAGAATAATTTTATAACTCATAAATAAAAACTCAGACAGTTGATTTCGCTAAATATCAAACCTAAATGATTAAACCTTCGGACAACAGATTTTCTTAAAGGTTGTAATTTTAAAAAAAACTCGGACAACTGAAAATTTGGACAAATATAACCTCACCCAAAACAATGTTGAACAAACAATCCCTTCATTTAACCAGCAGTAGGATTATCGTTATGTTTATAATATTTTTGTAGTCTTAATCCTGCTTTTGGATCTGATTTTAAAAACTAGTGTTTTAAATCTCTACTCGATTGTTTTTTTGAAGACACCGGCTTCATTTTTTACAAATGAACACACCTTAACGTATAGTTTAGTTTCAATAAGTTTAATTGCAGTGTTTTACCTAAATAGTTGTTAGTTCATTTACAATAACGAGATTAACAATAAAAAAATGTAAATTTTAAACCTGTAACCTGTTGCTAAGCCACTTTCATAGTATTTTGCAAGTAATTGGAATGTTTTTACGAACGTCAACGTGTATGATTGACTTCACCGTTCCAGTTGGACTAATTACAGTTCAATTTATCTCTAGCGTTATCACGTACAAATACTAGTTTCGCGTTCTTCACTACGCCATATCAAAATCCCTCATAAAAACCGCAATGGTAGACACGACTTTTTTCAATACTTGCACTCTGGAGTAGTTACTTTTATCTCCCGTGGTGGAAAAGAATCAGCTCCTGCTCCTGGACATAAACCATCGTTCTTATTTGTTTAATTTGCCCACGAGCCTATTCACAGAACAATGGTTCTGAATGATAGATTTTCCCACCTATTTAGCACTTTTTGAGACACTTTTTCTAAAGAAATTAACATTATTTCTCCCATGGTTACCTGACAAAGCAGGCTTTCTTGCACTATAACAAGTAAAGTAGCTGATTCATGCATTTACTTACTTTGTCGCACTAATTTTACTTTGTCGCACTTTTTTACTTTCCCGCACTCCAGTATTTCAACGAAACAGCACAAAACAGTGTGCTTGGATTAGGTAAACATACAATTACCCATTATTTATTTGCTTTGTAGGAAAATATAATGTATAACCCGAGCGCAAAGTTCCATATTGCTCACTAGTTACATACAACTATTTCGTCATACTGCAGCAAAAACAGCCGCTTCTAATACATGTCGCGGGTCTTAAAGTAGTTCATTTCTTGCCTCGGCTCACAACCCTGTTTTCCCCCAGTTCCTTTGTCTTCATCTTTCTGGACGCAGTTTCTTAGAAGATTTAGACACTTATGTCACAATATAATATTCTTAAGCAAGTTTCATTAATCCTACTAATATTATAAATGAGAAAGTTTGGATGTATGGATGTATGGATGTATGGATGTATGTTTGTGACAAGTGAACGCGAAAAATACTGGTCGGATTGGGCTGAAATTTGGCATGATGATAGCTCACATTCCCGATTAACATATAGGCATATTCTTATTTCAAAAATCCTTTCGGGCTCCGCCCCAGTGGCTCTGGAGTTTCCCATGTTAACCTTATGAGAAATGAAATTATTGAATCTTAACAGCTGTTTCAATTAAACAAGTTGGTTCTGTTCTGTGATGTTCAATAGCATTAAAGTTACAAAAAAATACCAACAGGGTGCAGCACTATTATTTCTTTTACATTTATGACAACAGCTAATTTGCAACCAAAAGGTGAGTGAGCGTAGCGAACGAACTTCAACCTGGAGGCGAGTTAGCGTAGCGAACGAGCTAACCTGAAGGCAAGTGAGCGCAGCGAACGAGCTCCAACCTAAAGGTGAGTGAGCGTAGCGAACGAGCTCCAACCTAAAGGTGAGTGAGCGTAGCGAACGAGCTCCAACCTAAAGGTGAGTGAGCGTAGCGAACAAACTTCAACCAGGACGTGATTGAGCCATGCGAACGAGATAATCTTGAAAATTAAGAAGTTAAACGGGGCAAAGCCCGCGGGTTACAGCTAGTATCTTATAAAATAATGAATTTAATTATCATTAATTAACAAATAAAAACAAACATTAATAAGCTAGGGTCATCCCTAGTTTATTGTTATTATTTCAATAGTTTAGTCTTTATATGAAGCGCATGTGCAAGTAAACAAAATGTCACTTTGTACCACAGCTTTAAAGGCCTAAATATTAAACTGTAGCCAAATCGCTACTTTTTTAGACATTTGTAACAATAACAATAACGTTTATTCGTACAAATCTATGTATATTTGTTGTATGAGTTATATTGTATTTTTTTACCGCTTATAAAGACTCCTGTATTGATTTTTTACATATCGAAATGTACAAACACTTCGTAAGGTATAAAGTTTTTTTCAAATTACATTTCTCTGGATGTAACATTTCAGTTGCTCTTGCGAAAACATGTCACTTGCTGTAATTGCTACAAATTGGAGGCAAAATAATTGTTGCATGTCAAAACACGTTGGAATTTATGACTAGCAACTGTTTGATGATTTTTACTGAAAAACAACTGTTGGTTGAGCAAGAAAATATTCATTTCAAGTCATGTTTCCAAATAGAACATTCTCTATCTGGAACATGATGTGGACGGGTTTGTGCTTAATCTTTCTCAAGTTTATGAGCGCTTATGGATGTGGGTAAGTCAATTGTGTTCAACATTATTAGACATACTAAGTACTATTAGTATCCTTAAGTAAATATAATTAAAAATGAACTGTAGAGCTGTTGTCTGATTTATTGTATTTTGCAGGATCGTTCAAAAACTGACTGGTCATGAGATTGTCGCACCGATGGAAAATATAAGAGGCGAAAACGTAAGCACAGTTATTGACATACATTTTACAAAAATTACCTTACTAACATAATAACAACATGACGAACTTAGATTAATTAATAGACTAAATAAATAATAGTTTAGTAATCAAACTAATTAATAGTTTAGACAAATAGTTTGGTATTTTCATGTTTTGTTTTACCCAACGCATTTTGTGGTTAAGAATATATCATTTATTTTGCAAACAAACTTTTACACTTGTTTATTGTTTAATTATACTTCGGTTTGGTTTCATTACACTCTTGCAAAAGTTTTCTTTTAATATTGTAATTTGTTGACCCTGGTTTTACTATTTTGGCAGAATATGGAAACATTTAGTAAAAATGTTCATAAATATCAAATACTGATTTTTTACATTTAACTTAACACTTTATTCTCCAAATATTGATGTTTGTCAAAGGTTGCAATGTGTTTTTTTCGAAACCTTCCTAAACCATGCAATATGTGTTCCTTAATTCGATCTAATTTCAGTACCGAAAAATGGAATCTTGGAATAGAAAATTCAATTTTAAAACAATTTACTCTTACTTCCTTACAAAAAAATTCCAATTTGTACATGGACTTATGGTGTATTCGGTAACAATAAAATTAGTGTTAGGGTAATTGGCTGTTTATTACCAAATAAACCAACTTAATCGATTTTCGTGTGTAAAATTTATCTAGTCAATGGCCAATTTAAAAAATAGAAACAATGTTAAGATTATTAGTAGATTATTAGTAGTTGCAATGAATACTGAGAACTATTTTCGTTCATAGATGGCATACCACGGAACTATCGGAATAGGAACGCCACCTCAAAAAATAAATGTCGTCTTCGATACAGGATCAGTTGATCTACTTGTGATAAAAGAGGGCTTCACAGCTCCTCCTGACGGTAAGCTCGTAAAACTGATGTATTTTTAGTTGCCTTTTGATTAAGATAAAAAGTACGAATTAACTTAGGTCTTTTTCCGAGACATGTATGGATTCTTTTTGGCCCCGGAGCGTTATAGAGTTTAAATGTATATTAATATAAATTATTTTTAATTTAAATATTAAGATATGCTGAAGGATTTAAACTTAAGATACTCTATGACTTTTACGCTAGTTTTTACAAACATGTTGGCGAATTTTTCAAACAGGGAATGAGCTATTTCGTAGGACTCATGGTAAAACCCATACCTGAAACCAATTTACCTGTCCGTTTCAATATTTATAGAGCTTAAAGATACGATCCAATTGAAATATTCTATTTTAGCAGAGTACCTGTCCTTCGTACGGGGTTGGCATTTAAGAATAAAATGCTTATTGCAGTTATACTCAAGCTTTGAAATGGGGTAGCAGGTCAAATTTTGATAACATTTGCTTCTTTAAATTTACGGTATCTTCTATATAAATAAAAGTAGAGTTTTTTACGTACATTGCTCAGAATTATATATTTTTAGGTTATTTTTACGTTTTATACATTAAAGAAGCAGAAACAAGTCGTATCTCTACCACAGCCATAATGCTCTACCACTTCACCTTATCAATAAAAAAAAAATTATTAAAAATTATTTTTTTAATTTTTTATTTTTAAAATTTTTTTTTTTTTAATATTAAAAAAAATATTAAAAAATTGCAAAATATTACAAACTAGCGAACCTGGCGCACGTAATCGTACGCAATTTAGGCATAGGAGAAGCAGGATTTGTATTTTTATTTATTTGCCATTTTCTCGTTTCAAGTTTTGTTGTTAAAGTTGGTGGTGGTAAAAGGCCTCATTTAGCTGGCAGTTTACCTGAGGTTTTTGCAGTTTCTTTTGTGAAGCCAGTAAAAGATTCTCTTTTGATTAGAAGTCTGGGAGTTATTTGCCAGGCCAATTTCCCGTGAAAAATCATCTTTCTTCTTACAAAACCCCCTCGTTCCCAACACCACCTCTGGCTAAAGTCTGGGACTTATCCACCAAGCCGATTCCTTGTGAAAAACCTTCTTGCTTCGGCCACTTTCAATCCTCGTCCAGACACTATGTGTCCACAACCCTAGCAGCTTGGCTCCCTTCCCCTTCCACCCTGAGCAATAGGAACCATTGGGATTCGCTCTAGTCTTTCCTCTCCTTTTTCATGTTGAAGTTTTAATTTCTTTTCTTTCTTTGTTTTGTTAGTTTCTTTTTTCAATTTGAAAACCTGTACGTATCCTTGGTTCTTCCTATTTCCCTAATTACTTTCCTAAACGTCTAAATTGTTTCCTTGTCTCTTTCCCCAACTGTTGTTTTTTGTTTGTTTTTTTTTTTTGTTCTTTCTATACAAAATTTTTCCTATTCCCTCCTATTTACTCCTGGAGTGGACAATTCATCAATATGTGACTCGTGGTCCAAACTTCTTCCGCAGCTGCATACTTCCTCTTCCACCAAGTTAAATCTCCACAAATTCACCGTGAAATGTTCCATGTACTTTGACGAACAGCGTTCAATAATGGCCCATCTCTAATCTTGTTCCAGTCTCATGCCGATGTTTGTCATACATCCGAACGTTTCCCTTTCTTTCTCATCTGCTCGCTACGTATTTGCCACTCATGCGATACTGGGTTGTATGGTTTCCCTACTTTCAACAAAACTCTTCCTTGCATACTCAAAAGTTTCCTTTTAAATCGTTTAATCCTAACATCCTTACCCTATAACTCGATGCATCCATAAAGCATTGCTGGCTCAACACTATTTGTACAGCGTCATCAGATGCTCCCCAGTCATGCCTCTATTTTCCGTGGCATGTTCCGATTTCATGAAGACTCCTTTCATTTATTTGTACACTAGCAGAGTACCCGTCCTTCGTACGGGGTTGGTATATAAGTATAAAATGCTTATTGCAGTTATACTCAAGCTTTGCGTTTGCAATAAGGGAAAAAACAGTTTGATAAAATTTTCTTTTTTAAATTTACAGTATTCTATAGTATTACACATCTACCATAGCCATAATGTTCTACCAATTCACCTAAACATTAACGAAAAATAAATTATCAACAATTCGCAAAATATCACAAATTATTCATGAAATGAAAAACATAAACAAACATGACTGTAAACAATCCTACTTTGACAGTTCTCATTGCGAATAACAGTTTTTTGTTGCTGCTTAGTTCAAATTAGCTGTTTTCATAAATGCAAAAAAAAATATAGTGCTGCACCCTGTTGGTAAATCTTATAACTTTGTAATGCTTTTCAATATCACAGAACCAACTTTTGTAGTTGAAACAGCTGACTAAATTCTTTAATTCCCTTTAAATATGAATACTCATAAGGTTAACATTGGGAATTACAGAGCCACTGGGGCGGAGCCCGAAAGGATTTTTGAGATAAGCCTATATGCCTATATGATTAACATATAAATCGGGAATGTAAGCTATTATCACCCAATTTCAGCCCAATCCGTCCAGTGGTTTATGCGTGATTGAACTTCAAACACACAAACAAACAAACAAACAAACACACAAACTTTCATATTTATAATATTAGTAAGATTTCCTCCACATGTTTTTCAAAAGTTATTCCTTTACCTTCCTTAATCAAGCCTGACAACATATAAGATTCCTGTTACACAATAATGGTGTTTTCCAGAATCTTTGGGACCCTCATCAAAATTTTGTTTTCGGAGGTGAAAAAATGTTTAAAACTTATATCAATGAGGTCTCGGGCTGATGTCACCTCTATGTATAAACTTTTTGAAAAATTTCAAAATTTTAAAATTATAAATTAAGAAATTTAGAAATGATTTTTGGGAAATTGCCCACTCAGGACTTGATCAAAAGCAATGGAGACAAGAAGCAATGTGCAAGCCTATGGAGCGGCGTTTCACCATGTCACCACTATAGGGTTGCTAGCTGCGAGCCCGAGCAGGAGCGCGTGCAAATCTCGCACTTTTAAGTAGATTAATTTGAAAATATTAATGTGAATGGATATGGATATCAAATGATTATAGAGTTTTACAATGGTATTGAACATTTATATAAGGGTTTATTGAACGTAGAGAGGATTTTTGAAAAAGTGGCTAAAAAAGCCGACGGGGCTTCGGACATTTTTTAGCTGAAAATGTTTAAAGGACACGGTCAAAAAATTTCTAGTGCCATCTCTTTGCTATATTGCCCCTGTATCTTATCTTATCTTACTATCTTACTAATATTATAAATCTGAAAGTTTGTGAGTTTGTGTGTTCTTGTGTGTGTGTTGCTCAATCACGCATAAACCACTGGACGGATCGGGCTGAAATTTGGCATGATGACAGCTCACATTCCCGATTAACATTAAGGCATATTTTTATCTCAAAATCCTTTTGGGCTCCGCCCCAGTGGCTATGTAGTTCCCCATGTTAACCTTATGAGTATTCATATTTAAAGGGAATTAAAGAATTTAATCAGCTGTTTCAACTTTACAAGTTGGTTGCACAATTTGTTTTTCAGGATTAATTTTGCCAACAGTGTCATTTAGAGGCTTCTGATTGACTAACTCATAAACGAAGGTTTAGTAATTGGAAAATTATTTTTGTTCATAGAATAAAATTATAAATGCCTCAAATTCAATTATATATTTTTTATTATGAAATTAAACCGTCATAACCTAACCAAACCAACCAAACGTGCTGACAATGAAAAAATCTAATGAAATTAATCGAAAAACTAGTTCTGTACATAAAATTAAATTAAAAATGCCTCAAATCCTATTTTATAATTTTTTATTATAAAATTAAACTATCATAACCTAACCAAACTAACCAGAATTGCTAATAATGAAAAAGCAAATGAAGGTTTAACCGAAAAAAAAATTCTGTTCATAAAATAAAACTATAAATGGGTCAAATTCAATTTCATAATGTTTTAATTATAAAATTAAACCGTCATAAACTAACTAGACCAACCAAACTTGTTGATGATGAAAAAAATCCAATATAAAAAAATAGTGCTACGGGTGGGATTCGAAACCGGGTCCTTCGGATCATTAGCCCACCACTCTATCCACTACACCACCGACACCGTATATAATCAATCGTATCGTCGCGGTAATGATGTTCCCTCAGCCAATCAGAAGCCTCAAAATAATACTTTAGGCAACACTAATTCTGAAATAAAAATTCAGCAGTTGGCACTATAATATGCAATAGCATTAAACAGTTATAAGGTTTCCCAACAGGCGCAGCACTATTATTGAGCGGAGCAAGCGTAGCGAGCGAAGCTCTTATACGTCGACTTTTATGCATTTCGTAATACGCAAACTCCTCCTAGACGGCTGAATCAATCGTTTTCAAATTTTGGATGGTGATAAATACCATATCGGTGAGTGCCAACATCTATATGGCGTTAAAAATAACTCTCAGGAATCCGCCCCACTGGGTCTCAAAGTTTCAATGTAATCCTTATGGAAGCAGTATTTGACACATAAACAAAGACATATGATCAGCTGTTGACTTTTGAATGCAGCAGATGAAGAAATAGCTGATAGCATAATTCCACAGATATTAGAACAGAAACGGTATGAATCATAAATATAATCAAATGACGACACTAGCTTGAGGTCCGTGACGTAGGAAGTGCTAAAGGAAGTACTAAAGGTGAGCAGTCTGGAGTGTGGAAACTGTTTATGACCATTAGATTAAGGCATTTGCAATCATAAAATGTTATGGAAAGTGAGGGAAACAGGTCCGTGGCGTTAAAAGTGGCGAAGGAAGTAGTAAAGGTGAGCAGTCGGGAGTGTTGGAACTGTTTATGACCATTAGATTAAGGCATTTGCAATCCTATGATGCTATGGGAAGGGAGGGAAACAAGTCCGCTACGTAGGAAGTGGTAAAGGAAGTAGTAAATACGAGCTGTCCGGAGTGTGGGAACTGTTTATGACCATTAGATTAAGGTATCTGCAATCATAAAATGCTATGGGAAGGAAGGTAAACAGGTCTGTGACGTAGGAAGTGGTGAAGGAAGTAGTAAATGCGAGCAGTCCGGAGTGTGGGAACTGTTTATGACGATTAGATTTAGGTATCTGCATTCCTAAAATTCTATGGGAAGGGAGGAAAACGGGTCCACGACGTAGGAAGTGGTGAAGGAAGTACGAAAGGTGAGCAGTCTGGAGTGTGGGAACTGTTTATGACCATTAGATTAAGGCATTTGCAATCCTATGATGCTATGGGAAGGGAGGGAAACAGGTCTGCTACGTAGGAAGTGGTGAAGGAAGTAGTAAAGGCGAGCAGTCCGGAGTGTGGGAACCGTTTATCACGATTAGATTTAGGTATCTGCATTCTAAAAATTATAAGGGAAGGGAGGTAAACAGGGCTGTGGCGTAAGAAGTAGCGAAGGAAGTAGTAAAGGCGAGCAGTCCGGAGTGTTGGAACTGTTTATGACGATTAGATTAAGGTATCTGCAATCATAAAATGCTATGGGAAGGGAGGTAAACAGGTCCGTGACGTAGGAAGTGGTGAAGGAAGTAGTAAATACGAGTAGTCTGGTGAGTGGGAACTGTTTATGACGATTAGATTAAGGTATCTGCAATCTTAAAATGCTATTGGAAGGGAGGAAAACGGGTCCGCGACGTAGGAAGTGATGAAGGAAGTAGTCAAGGCGAGCTGTCCGGAGTGTGGGAACTGGTTATGACGATTAGATTGAGGTATCTGCAATCATAAAATGCCATGGGAAGGGAGGAAAACAGGTCCACGATGTAGGAAGTGGTGAAGGAAGTAGTCAAGGCAAGCTGTCCGGAGTGTGGGAACTGTTTATGACGATTAGATTAAGGGATCTGCAATCCTAAAATGCTATGCGAAGGGAGAGAAAAGGTCCGAGACGTATGAAGTGGTGAAGGCAGTCGTCAAGGTGAGCTGTCCGGAGTGTGGGATCTGTTTATGACGATTAGATTAAGGTATCTACAATCTTAAAATTCTATGGGAAGAGAGGGAAACAGGTCCGCGACGTAATAAGAGGTGAAGGAAGTAGTAAGGTGAGCAGTGTGGAGTGTGGGAACTGGAAACCGTTTGTAGCAGTTAGATTAACGTATCTGCAATGCTGAAATGCTATGAGAAGGGATGGAAGCATCCCCACGACATAGAAAATGGTGAAAGAAGTAGTAAAGGCTAGCAGTGCGGAGTGTGGGGAATGTTTGTGGCAATTAGATTAACGTATCTAAAATACTAAATTGCTATGGAAAGTGGTGAAAACAGGTCCACGATGTAGGAAATGGCTTAGAAAGTAGTAAAGTATGAGCATAGTGTGAAAACTGTCTGTGGTAGTTAGATTGATGTATCTTTAATCCAAAAATGCTATGAGAAGGGAAGGAAACAAGTCTCTGACGTAGGAAATGGTGAAGGAAGTAGTAAGGCCTGCAGTGCAGAGTGTGGGAACTATCTTTGGCAATTACATTAATGTATCTGCAATCCTAAAATGCTATGGGAAGAGAGGGAAACAGGTCCACGACGTTGAGGGTGGTGAAGGAAGTAGTAAAGGTGAGCGTGTTGAGTGTGGGAATGGATTAATGTATCTGCAATGCTAAAAGGCTATGGGAAGAGACTGTAGACTGTAGGTTAAAATAACTACGAAGCACGAATCGATACATATTTCGATTCATGCAATCGTTTACAATATAGAAATTTACAACTGAGTTGACAACAGCTGATTTTTACTCCATAGAGGATACAATCTATTTTTACTTCCTAAAGAGTAAAAATGCTACTTTAGACCCGCAACGCATGCTTTAAAAACAACTAGTATTACTGTAGTATGACCAAAACAATATAATATAAACTCTTGATGGCTCCGCTCAATTTTGTGGATGCCTCTGCAAACGCCACCTAGTTATTTTGTTTTTGCATTTATGACAACAGCTAATTTGAACTAAGCAGCAACAAAAAGCTGTGATACACGATGATAACTATCAAAGTAAGATTGTTTACAGTTAGGTTTGAGTTTTTAATTTAATGAATAATTTGTGATATTGTGCGAATGTTTGATAATTTATTTATTTTGTCTATTGTTTAGGTGCAGTGGTAGAACATTATGGCAATGATAGATGTGTTATACTATATCAAACCGTAAATTTGTGATATTGTGCGAATGTTTGATAATTTATTTATTTTGTCTATTGTTTAGGTGCAGTGGTAGAACATTATGGCAATGGTAGATGTGTTATACTATATCAAACCGTAAATTTATGAACCAAATTTTATCAAACTGTATCCTCCCCCCATTGCAAACGCAAAGCTTGAGTATAACTGCAATAAGCATTTTATACTTATATGCCAACCCCGTACGAAGGACGGGTGCTCTGCTAGTAGGTTAATAAATGAAAGAATTAGTTTTTTATGCTTGATTTTTAATATAGTACTAGCTGTTGTACCCGTGCTTTGCAACGGAAAGAGGACACAAAATAGAAACATTTTAATCTTTATCTCTTGCATATAATAGTTACACATCCGCCAACGCTTTTAGAAACAAAATTCAACTTCAAACAAAAATGGCCTTAATAGAAATGTTTAAGTTATGACTTTTGAATCTGGTAAGTAGTGGATACCACCATTTTGGTTTTGATTAATTAAATCTTGTGTAGGCTGATATGAGAAAAACTGACCGAATCTTGGAGTAAAACTTTGACGTACATGATTTACCAGATTTACCTTAATCTCCCTTAATTACACATCTTTTAATTTATTATTGACATTTTAAATTTCAAATTTGAAGTTGCAAAAATACTAATTATTAAATTTAAATATCTTTATATTAAAATCTTCTTTATATTAAATCACAAATCCTTTCATCTTTAGTTTTTTCACTCACAATAAATCATTAGCAAAACTAAGTCAGCTGTTATTAACTTTAGAAATATTGCTGTGCCTTATCAATACAGTCTTTTGAAATATTAAAGAAACTATATCTATAGGTACTATAAAAAATTTCAAACAAATAATTTAGCATTAAAGACAGTAGACAAAACTAATATGATTATCAAAGCATCAAGGACTAAAAAATTTAATAGCAAATACAGTATATGTTTCATTGTATCTCCGATTCTACCATACAAAAATATCAACAAACAACTTAATTTACAAACCAGTTCTTTAAATCAGTTCCATCGTCCATTGCCTTTATGTTTTCACACTTACCATTAAGAAAACATAGTAACAGATATTTCATTGATTTTAGAAACAAAAGAACACTGTGTACTGCTTAGTTTTATGATATTTTCCTTGGTTTAATTTAATCAGTGGTGTGGCAAAACACAAATAATAAATGCATCAAATAAAGTAAATGTGAACTGAAAGCTATGTTAAGACAAAATAAGAGTATTTTGTATTACCATTTGATAATTAAATATAGTTACACATATACAACAGATTTTAGAAAACAAAAATCAATGACAATTTAGTTATTGATGATATTCTTTAGTTTAATTTAAGCATAGGTTTAGCAAAACATAGTAACTTAATTTACCTAAATATACATATAAAAAACAATGTAATATGCAAGTTATGTTAAGTTAATCCAACACATGTGAATCAGTTAGAATTTATTTAAAGTAGCCTCCAAATTCATACAAAACATGTATACAATATAATTTTCATACTGTTTCCATGAAAACATATCAATAACATTATTTTAACTTAAGATTATTAACTTAAGACGCTTTAAAAAATCCAAAGTTGATACAGCAACAGTTATAAACTCTTTTTTTTATAATCATTGACATAGTTTTAGAATAAATAATCCATGATAAAAGGTTAGATTAAAATAAACTTACCTCATATTTGTGGAAAATATTATATTTAATTTCTTTGTATCAGCTGTCTGAAATTGTGAAATTTCCAGTTTAGCAGTTCTTCTGGTTTATATTTAAATGTCAAAGCAAATGTAAACAAACATTGTTAGTGTTCTCATCACAGCCATGGAGACCAATCAATATTTACTTTTAAAATGTTCACCTCAGAACTTTTAAAGCCAACGGGGCAAAGTCTGGTCAGTATCGAAATGTGAATAGTCCTATAATGGTCCTTGGTATGGTAGCTATATTTTTGTAAAATTTAAGCCCAGTTGGTTCAGTAGTTTTTGCACCTATTAGTAATACACATACAGACAGACACCATTAGATTTTTATATAATAGTATGGATATGGATATAGCGTGATTAGTTATATTTATACGTTTGGACAATTATATAGGGATATGTAGACAAATCAAATCAAGGCCCCCGTATAGCCTCTAAAACGTCTACAGTGGCGTCACTTTGATATTTTGCCCGTACTTCAATGAAGAAAGATTTATATCAAGTTAGAAAGTGTTTATAGTGTCATATGTTATTTATTTACATATTTTATTTTAATTTTCTTTCGCTTTAAAAATGGCATTAGAGCTTAAACTAATCAGTAAATATCGAAATAAATAATTCTTACTTGGGTACTCAGTTTATCAATGTTGAATTTTCCAGCATATATAGGAGCCCTATTATCCTATTTTTCGTACATGTGTGTGTGTGTGTGCGTGTGCCCGCGGATATTTTTATCTTCCCTATTTATGCTTTGTGATTCAACTAGATGTTGCATTTGCTTGTAGGCTAATTAGACAACACTAATAATACACTTATAATTAAACTGATACTAATAACCATTATTTTTTTCCAGCTATGAACCCCGTAGGTTTCGCCCCTAAAACATATGACCCTGCCCAAAGTCAAACCTATGAAGAACTTCCTGAAGAGCTCCCAATAAAAAATATTTATGGGCGCGGTACACAACGAAATGGCTACTTGGCATCAGATGTTGTAACGGTATTTCCAAAAGTACACTGTATATAATATCAATGACTACAAAAATCTATAAGCCGTAACATGGGTTGTGGATTTTATAGCCTATGCTCTTCGTGCTCTCTCTCATCACCCTCCAGGACTCGGGTTCGCAAGTAGTTTGGCGACCGTCCGCATGAGAGCGCGTTGTTCGTGGAGCTTGATTTTTCGGGTTTTAGCTTTACCTTAGTATAAAACGCCTTTAGGGCAGGCGCGCACTATCCCGACCACGACAAAATGCCTGAACGGTTGTTGTCGTTAACCATGCGACCAGAGCACGACCCGACCACTACCCGACCAAGGCAACGCATGTTTTATAGCAAGACAAACTTCAGTGTCAAGATGGATGTTGAAGAAGTAGCTGCTGTGGCGCACTATCCCGACCACGACCATGACCACGACTCCGACTGGTCGGACACGGCCAGTTTTATGTTTGCTGACTTTCGAGTGAATTGGTGCTACTGTATAGGTGCCATGACACCAGCTAATTTTAAAACGTTTTTATTAGCTCACTTTCTTGTCCGGTACAAACTTTGCAATCAATAACTAACTTCCCGACGAGTTAGAGGATTGAAACTTTAAAAATAGCTCACAAATGGATGACAATGCAATATTATATAATTTAATTTTCATATTTCCCTTGGGCTAAGCCCCATGGGCTTCCAAATTTTTCATGTTTAAATTTTGGAAGAATGTAGGCCTAAATATATCAATTGAAGTCAGCTGTAAATACTAAAATAAAATTTGACAGTTCGAAGTGCAGAGGTTAAGAGGTACAGGTTCTGCTCCCGATAGATTCTAAATATAAAATAAGCAGCTCAAAGGAAAGATAAAACATATGATTACATATAATAAGTGTTTAGTTATGTACTAGCTGTGTGCCCGTTCTACGCACGGGGATCTTATCGTAGCCAGTTGAAACCTTCTTATATTAAGAACAGCAGCAATTATAGATAAACCTTCGCAAATACAGTATCTGACAGTTTCAAGCACAAGGCAAAACAAATGCTTCGCAATTAAATGTCACCCGGATCATGTTGGTCCATATGTTAAATCCAATGATTAAACTAAAAAAATGCTTTATAGATCTATGAGGCATAGCCCTAAGATAGGCCTGAAAGTTACTTTCCACAATGGTTAAAAGTATATAAGGTACTACATTAACCTCACAATTTAACACTTTATTCGGGTTGAAATTTTTCATTATCAAGATGCGCTTGTCCTTTCCGTGAAATACTGAGAAATAAAGGACATTAATGCGTTACCAACAGACATACACACACAAATCCAGAACTTAATTAGGGAATTTGCTACGCTTTAAGCATAACAAAGTACATACCTATAAAATTAGTATTTGAAATCTTTGTTAATGTCATCAAATTTTATCATAACAATTTATATTTGCTTGGACCGAAGATTACCCGTAATGCTGTCGAAATGACGGCTTACTTTATGAAATGAAGTAGGCCTACTATAAACAATTTAGATTGGTAATTTATAATAAAAATTACCAAAATAGGCCACGAACTATTGATGCATAAACAACGTAAAGCGTTTAAACAATTCATGATGGTTTACTGAAATTTACTAAAATGCGTTAGCCTATCGTTTTCTTAGCATAAACTAACATTTTGGAATCCAGATAGAAAAAGCAAAACTTATACAGTTAAATTGAATACGCCTGTAATAAATAAGGTGCAACACCAACGATAGCTAATTTGTAAATTACAATGATGTTGTAGTACGTTCTAAGGGAAATCAGTACCAAAAACCAACGTTTACAGTTAAGAACTGTAGTACATCCGACCAACTGTATGCGTTAATCAAGTCCCGAGGATATTGATCTCTTGGTTTTGGATTTTCTCGTAAAAGGTTATTGGCAGTCAAAGTTATTTACCATTAATTGCTTCTTTTATAAACAACTTTTAATGTAAACTTATCGGTGTCAGTTTGAAAAAAAAAACCTTATACAAACAACTGTTTTGTTATTTAACAGATTACGTATTCTCTAAACAATGATTGGTATAGGCTATCCATTAACATTAGAAGGGAATGTGATAAAAATCACACAACGTTGGGTTTTTGGACGTTTGTAATTTTATTTCTTAAGTAGGTAGGCCGTGTATCTTAGGAAAAAGTACCGGCATCAAGGATCGTCGTCAAAAAGGTTGTTATGAATAATTGGCTAGGCGTACGTACCCAAGAGATGGACTATTTGCCTATTGGCTGTATGGTCCAGCGATTGCATCACACGGTGAGTAGGAACTATTGACTATATATATAGTCAATGGTAGGTAAAGAAAGAGACACATTGGAAAATCGAGTTTAGTTTCATCTTTTAAACCTCTGTTACAATCACCTACTGCAGTTGTGATTTTTTTACTTTACACTTTACACAACCGCCATTGAAGCGCCGTCACTGAGTGAAAATCTTGTTTCTAAGCTATTGGTGACGATCGTTATTAAATTTAAGTTTCCCACCCGTATACAACACTGATTCAAGGTCTTCTTTCTTGTTATCAAAACTCAAGAACAATTTCATACACTAAAGAATTTCTGGTTCCTGACCTGGATGATACCTAGTTATTAATTTCATTTACGGTTACACTATTACACTATATTATTGAACTTACGATTAATTTAATCCGTTATGTAAGAAAAACGGGTACTTACGTATTATACGGAGGCCACCCTTATACAACGCGCTGCGGCGGTTAGGTTTGGTCATCATGAAGCTTTTATGACTTGTCTGGTTCGATTCATAACGAAAGTAGGAAAGTCCTACAAACATATTTATAATAGACCAACCTAACCTAACCACCGCAGCGCGCTGTAAAATAAGTGGCCTCCGTATAATACGTAAGTACCGAAAAACGTTTTTAATCTCACTTCGTTGAGATTCGCTTTCAAAATGTGATCGAAAATGGTTGCGGTATTTGTAAACAACATTTGTAAACATATCAGTGACAGCTAGAAAAAATAATCTTGATCCGAACAGTTGTTCGTTATTTCATAGATGATTATGTGATAAAAATTGGACGAAAACTTTAAAAAATCGCACAAAACTGCATTTTTGAACGTCCGTAATTTTATTAACAAAGTAGTGAGACCATATTTTAATGGCTAAAGACACTCTCACCAATCCAGTAAATACATTAAAACGACTTGGATCTTGATAGGTACTCTCGTTTTCCTGGAGAAGATTGCGTAAAATGCCATCTTGAGTGTTGCAGACAGACAGACAGACAGACAGACAGAAATTTAGATGAGACTTGTTTCGGCTTCCTTAATGTATAAAACGTAAAAATAACCTAAAAATTTATGATTCTGAGCAATGTACAGACAAAACTCTAATTTTATTTATATAGATTAACAGGCCATGTAAAATAGATTTCATATTTACACATTAAAGACTAAAAAGTATAAAATAATTATAAATCAAAATAATTTTAAAAAATACCACGTTTTTAAACGCACTAAAAAGTAAAAATAATTTATAAATATGTGGAGAGAATAAATACTTGTAAGATTTAAAACGAAAAACGTGGGGCGCATGTAATGGATAATAATAGTTCAATAGGTGAAGATAATTTGTAAAATTAGTATGCGCCCCACGTTTTTCTTTAAATCTTCAAGTATTTATTCAATACATATTCTGTACTTTATTGTGCGTTTAAAAACGTTGCATTTTGAAAAAGTTTTTTTTTATATCTATAATTTATAATAGTAGTGATTTAATAGTACAGATTTAATTTGTACATATCTCATATCTTCTTCAGGGGTAAAAAGCAGTTTTGTATTCTTTGAAGACATTACGACCAAAACCCGTCACACCTACAAATCGCTCAGCGACTGCGACTCTGACTCCCCTCAGAGCAGACCCGCTACAGTCGCTGTGTTCAGCCGCTAGCCGCTCCAGTCGCAGTCGCGTCAAGGACAATGGTCCCATTTAAAACAACGCTAACCAGTGCTCAGCTACTATCGCTGAGCTACTATCGCTCAGCTACTATCGCAAGAGTCGCTTCAGGGACAATGCACCTTTATAATAGGCGTAAATGGAACAGCGCGCACTGGTCGACTGGTCGGATCTTGGTCGGACGCTGGTCGCACGACCTCCTTGCAGTTTGGTTGGGCACGACCCGCTGGCCAAAAATAGCACACAATGTAATGGGACGACGAGCACTACCACCGACTTGCCTCCGACCCGACCAGTACACCGGTAATCTATGTTGTTTGGTATACATAGATCAATCAAACAAATAACACTCTGTTTTGTGTAGTCCATGAAGTGATTTATTTTGTGAAATGTCGCTGGATTTCGACACAGAAGGTTTCATTATAGCCATTAAGGAAAGGCCCTGTTTATGGGATCTGTCAGCAGAAGATTATGCTATAACAGAGGAATGAAGAAGGAAGCATGGGAGGAGATAACCCTGATGTTTGGGGGACGTGACGACGCTACTCAGAAGGAAAAGATACAAATGCACCACAGCAGCTACTTCTTCAACATCCATCTTGACACTGAAGTTTGTCTTGCCATAAAACATTCGTTGCCTTGGTCGGGTCGTGCTCTGGTCGCATTATGAACGACAACGACCGGTCGGGGGTTTTGTCGTGGTCGGGATATTGCGCGCCTGCCCTAGTCGGCCACAAGATCGCGCCACTCATCGTCATTCATATTTGGCTTAAACACCTACTTTGTATGGTCGCCATTTCATAAGAAAGTATTAAAGTATTGCTTTTAAATTCTAAACGTGCAGTTTTCATACTATGTTGTTCATACAGCGAAAATAGTCCCGCATTAGGTACGCTACGCAAGACCTGTACTCGAGTCTTGTTAGACAATAATAAACATTGAAAACTGTTGTTAAATTAAACCCGAATGATAAAAATTTTAACTTTTAAGACATTATTTAACGTATTCATGTAAGGTGGTTAGCAGTATATTATTTTAAATTTGTTAAATTCCAATACAGTAATTAGCTTTCGGCGTATGTTTTGTCTTGAGAATCATTCAAGCTTTTTTTCAATGATTTTGACCAGTCTCTGGTATAAGTAAGTCAGGTATAAGCGTGAGATTAGGGTGTGATAAGGGTGTGGGGTGAGATTAGGTTTAGCAGGTCAAAATGTTAACATGATCGTAAGAACGCGGATTAGTTAAGGGTCTCCGAGAGTTAAAATTGATTCTTTATTTTACAAATTTATATTTCAATTATTAAACTTACTCTTGTGGAACTTCACACCACAGACTAACAAAAACTATACTTCCAACTCTAACATAAAAAGGATATTATCACTTTGGGTTCTGTATTATGTAATATCCTATTGTATTTCTAATTTCAGATCGGGGATGGAGAAAACAAAATCCAATTCAAAACCTTGGTCGGTGTTGCAAACGAAGTACATGAGGACAATGCTTTGGCACCAGACGCTGTCTTCGGTCTCGGGTTCACCATGGGAAGTGGAGGGCTTAAATCGAAAATTATATCACCCTTGGAAGCTATTATCTCACAGACTGAAGTGTGTGGAGCAGTAAGCTTTTATTTCGAGAGGTGAGCCATTATACTGTTTCCAAGAGTGCAACGTAAGTATGCAATATTTATATACGAAATCTATGATCAATGTTATATAGAAATCTATACAACATTTAATTTCAGAATCTAAATAATTTTCCCAGTTTAAACAAATGGACTTATCGGCCTATGCTTAGTATCTAATATTAATATTTGACCATCTAGTAATTTTAGAGGCATTCTTTCATTACCCATTCTCACTACGTAACCTAACATCTTAGCCTCATTGATTTGTTCACCCTAACTATATCAGAGGATATAGTGAAAAATAGAGTAGTTCATTCTTATTGTTTCTTATTCCATATTGCTCCCATTCTTTTACCACACGGAAGATTCGTCTTAATATTCTTCTTTCGAAAACTCTTTGAGTTTAAGCATCGGAGCATAGCAGTGTCCATGAGTCACACCCTAATTTGTATGATCGTATTTTTCATTCTCTATTACTAGTATGTTTTATTTAATTTGTTCCTATTACAACAGCTTACCTAAATAAACACCGTTATGGATCCTCCTCGTCATCTATATACAGGGTGTTCATTTGAAAACTTTCCATATCTGTTGTGTGCAAAGGTAAGGCTTTTAACACTTGTTTGTTCTCATTTCCCCCTAATTTGGACATGCCAAATCCAATAAAATTATTTTCAATTTTGAAAAATGCCCCAAAAGGGCCCAATTTGGGGGGTAGGGGTGCTTTTTGAGAAATTTTCAAATGTAAACATGGGTTGTGTGATACATCAATTTAAAGGTCTAATCACCCCGATCATTTTGGTGCAAAAAAGTTTAATTATCTTTAACCGTATTTACAGGGTGGGTCAAAACCTTTTAAAAAAGGACTTTGAAGTTAAGTACCGTATTACCCTAACTACTGAACGGAACAGCGCCAAATTTCTTTCCAAGCTTATTCTTGAGCTACTCTTTAAGATAACTTGTAGTAAGGGCATTTTCCAAGTTATTTTCTAATTTTTAAAAAATCTCAAATTTTAAGAATAAAAGAAAGCTGAAAACTCAAAATTCTTAAATAGCAAGGTATAACAAATTTCATACCACGTGAAAGGTCCTTTTTTAACAAACATTTTACGTATTTAAGTTTTCTTTCTATCTCTTACCGTTTAAAAATTGCAGTAGAAAAACATAATTTTCTGTGGTAAAATTGTAACTAGTTTTCTAATAAAACAGCCAAAATTCGTCTCTAGACACATTAAATGGTGGAATAACTGAAGGAAACAATTCATAATTATTTTTAGGCAGATAGGCAAACAAGTCATTACGTTTTACTTTGTGAGAAACAAGTTTTATAGCTGATGAGAAAAACCCAAGCGTGGGCCGCTTTCTGTAGTACCATTGACTAGTCAATGGTAGTACTAATTTCAAAAGTACCATTTCCTGTAGTACCTAATCAAATATGGTGTAAACTTAAAAAAATATACTTTATTTTACTTATTGGTCATAACAAAAGTGTTCCAGGATAACTGCAAAGTGTTTAACAATAGATATCCAGGTATAACCTTGAGTCATATGGCTGTAAATGATTTAGTTAGGAAGTTTTCTGAAACTGGCTCAGTTATCAATGAGAAAAGAACAGGATGAAGGGTCCAAGATGAATTCTGACACACGTAAAAGTAGTCGATCAATTTGTTATGAATCCTACTACATCGTTGAACAAAGTGCAATGTGTTTTATTAGAAAACTAGTTATAATTTTACCATGGAAAATTATGTTTTTCCACTGCAATTTTTAAACGGTAAGAGATAGAAAGAAAACTTAAATACGTAAAATGTTTGTTAAAAAAGGACCTTTCACGTGGTATGAAATTTGTTATACCTTGCTATTTAAGAATTTTGAGTTTTCAGCTTTCTTTTATTCTTAAAATTTGAGATTTTTTAAAAATTAGAAAATAACTTGGAAAATGCCCTTACTACAAGTTATCTTAAAGAGTAGCTCAAGAATAAGCTTGGAAAGAAATTTGGCGCTGTTCCGTTCAGTAGTTAGGGTAATACGGTACTTAACTTCAAAGTCCTTTTTTAAAAGGTTTTGACCCACCCTGTAAATACGGTTAAAGATAATTAAACTTTTTTTGCACCAAAATGATCGGGGTGATTAGACCTTTAAATTGATGTATCACACAACCCATGTTTACATTTGAAAATCTCTCAAAAAGCACCCCTACCCCCCAAATTGGGCCCTTTTGGGGCATTTTTCAAAATTGAAAATAATTTTATTGGATTTGGCATGTCCAAATTAGGGGGAAATGAGAACAAACAAGTGTTAAAAGCCTTACCTTTGCACACAACAGATATGGAAAGTTTTCAAATGAACACCCTGTATAGATTACGTAAGCCGATTCTTCGCGTCAAAATTGTGGGCGATTGGGAAGTCGTAGAACGACGAGAGAGGGCCTCAAATCAAAGATCTCGATTCCGTGACGGCGGAAAATAGTGAAATTCCCTAAATGTTAACACAAAATTTGATATAGTTTAAAATGTTCTCCATAAGAATAACATTAGAAGCCATTTACTGCTGAATTTTGTTTACTTCAATACAGCTGATCGTGATTTATCATCACGTAAGCAATATTACATTTGGATTACTTATTTGCCAGTCGATTCTGCAATATACTGTTGTACTATATAATACCCCCGCCGCAGCAAACCTGCAGACTAAGCGAATTTCCATTTGACTGATTGGATTTACACTGAAATGTCTACTTAAAAATATAGCATTTATTCCCGATTTAAATAGAATTAGTTTAACAAGTATTTAGGTTTGCTGCATCAGGGAGGGTAAAACTGTTTTTTTTGTAAAATGTTAATAGTTAGTAAGAAATAAAAACATTTTCCAAATTTGATCAAAATATGTTCATAAACAAGCAAACTACAACAGTTTACTCATTCTCCATAAGAATAACATGGGAATTTTAAATTTACAATTTTTTGGAATTTTATCCGTAACCATTAGGCGCATAATAACGCTTCAATATACTAAATTATTTGTTTTTTTAAGCTCTACAAAATGGTTTGGAAATAAATTGCTAAATTTTATGTTTTTTGGGTCAAAAATGAGAAAAACCTATTTTTACCCCATAAAACCCCCCGTAAACACCCGTTCCCATGGTCCGATCATGCTGGATCGCGAACTCGTTCGAATAAACGTAGGTTTACACGTTTGTACCAAATTTCATCAAAATCGGATCATTTTTGCTCGAGTTATCGTGCTGACGGACACACATATATATATATATATATAAATATATATATATATATATATAAATATATATATATATATATATATGAATTTGAACGGATGGTGTTTTTGGCCTCTAGGGACCTCAAAACGAAAAAAAAAATCGGTCCCGCGTCCAGGTCTTACCATGAGTACTACGGTAATAGCTTATTCCCTATATGGGAAATTCGCTAAAAAAACAGGAATAACTTTACATACAATAATATTTACTAACATTTTAAATTTGAGATTGATTGTAGTGTTTAATCAATAGTTGCTGAGATTGGTATTTTCGTGATTGGTTTCGATAACTGGGTATTGGAACCTTAACCAGTCGCAAAATAGTTAGTAATCAGGCGTTCCATTATTTCACCTTTAGAAGGAATACCACCCCATGAACTTACACTGGGCTAATATTAGATTTTAAAATGTTGATCAGAAACAAATATAGGGTTAAGTTTGGTCAATGGGGTGAGATTTTACTTTACACTTATTTTGTTAAACCTTTACAAAAGGAGCATAAACTTAGAAATAATAACTAGGTTGGGTGTGCTGATTTAGAGGGTTTGACCAATAACCAAGCTTTTCTCCATACACCTTTATTTACCTTTTTATATTTAACGAAGACAATTTGCAATATTTCAATCAGAGAAGCCTGTTATTTATCATCATTAACCAAAAGAGTTTGTTTAAATATTACAATAATTTGTTTTACATTTGAGCATTTTAGGGACTTATATGTCCCTACAAGCCACTAATCTAGACTTAATTAATTATAAATTCTGTTGTTGTTACATTTTAGAATTGAATATGATACGGATCTTGAACGGACCTCATATCCTATGGGTGGGGAGATGTTTTTTGGTGGGTACAACAAAAAATATCTGAAGGATCCAAATAACATTATCACAGCCAAGGTTCCAAAAGCCAAGTTACAGTATGGTATGTTTTATGGATATTGGGAGGTTACCACGACAGGGTAAGCTATACTTTTAGTATTCATATGCAATATTCTATTATATTACATTTTTTCAGAGCTTACTCTTAACATAGTAAATTATTGTCGATAGTATTAATCTAGTTGTTGGTTGTCAATGAAGTGTCTTTATTAGTATTGGTTTACAAGGGAGTAAATGAGAACTGTTTGCACTAGTAAGTGTTTACAAAGTCGTGACTGTCACAAACGTCATTAGTATGGAGGTAATGATTCATTGCAGGAACTTAGAATAGACTGAATAAACGGTATCAGCAATCTTACACATACTTTCTCCCACTAGCTTGCCAACAAACTTTGTCATGGATAAGCGATGAGAGTAATTAACTATGATATTTAATAGGTAAAATCACAAAAGTTGGACTAACGTTTGAACCATAATTTTAACAGCAATTCGGTTGCACTGCTTTGTTAAGAATTACGAGGGTCATCACTTACTATTTTAAAATGTTGACTCGCCAAAAGAAAAACAATGCTTATACAATTCTTGTTGGACCACGAGTAACTTATGGCTCTAAGTGTTGGACACTGTCAATCGAAGACATGGATAACTAAGACAATTTGAGTTAACGGCTTGAAAGAGGAGAATATGATATTTACAGGATCTGGAAAACTACAGAGTAGAAAATATCATTGATGGAGATTGAGATTATATTGTTAGTGATAAAGCCCAAAGACTCAGATGACTTGGACACAACGTTATTAATACTTGACGAGTAAATTTACAAAAAAAAAACTCATGAGTGGATGAAAATTGGTTCAAGAAGAAAGGGGTAGTCACGACTAAGGTGGTTAGACGGAGTAGATGAAGACCTATATAAGATGAAAATACACAACTGGGAAGAAATTCACTGATTGACGGCATTGTGGAAGTAATTAGGAGGCCATAGCCAAGTTGTAGCTCCATATAGTTATATAAGGAATAGATTGAATTTTTAACATTTATCGCGCTCCACTCTGTAGGTACTGCTTTCCGGTAATATTAGGCAGTTGTGTTTGCTACAAGGCCATCAGTTAAAACAAACACAATTGCTGGGAGAAGTTAAAAGGACATTCTAACCCAAAAATTCGGCAGCCGCTTACCACCTTCCGACGTGGGTGGGGCCACTATGGAGAAGATAGTCGAGTCCTTTTTCCTGCTCACACGTTACGCCGAGGATAGCCCAACTCAGCGTGGTGGTCAGATTTGGGTCAGATTCAAAACGAGGAAAAGTTTTATGGCCCTCGAAGGGTCAAGTCGACAACTCCGCGCGGTGGTCAATTTTCGTGACTAGCCCATCTACGCACGGTGGCCAAATATTACCTCTACGCCACAGATACTCACCAATCTTTAACTTGTACTTGTTGTGTTATCAGATGAGATATAAAGTGTTTAATATAAATATTCTATACTAGCTGTACCCGCGGGCTTTGCCCCGTTTAACTTCATAAGTATTCGCATGGCTCATTCACGTCCTGGTTGAAGTTCGTTCGCTACGCTCACTCACCTTTAGGTTGGAGCTCGTTCGCTGCGCTCACTTGCCTTCAGGTTAGCTCGTTCGCTACGCTAACTCGCCTCCAGGTTGAAGTTCGTTCGCTACGCTCACTCACCTTTTGGTTGGAAATTAGCTGTTGTCATAAATAAAAAAAAAAAAATAGTGCTGCACCCTGTTGGTAATCCTTGTAACTTTTATGCTATTGAACATCATAGAACAGAACCAACTTGTTTAATTGAAACAGCTGTTAAGATTCATTAATTCCATTTAAATATGAGTACTCATAAGGTTAACATGGGAAACTCCAAAGCTACTGGGGCGGAGCCCGAGAGTCCGATCAGAATAAAAACAGCTTAGTTTTCCTATTTAATGCCTAAAGAATCAGTGTACCAAATTTCAGCCTCCTAGGTAAATGGGAAGTAAGAGCGAGTGATGAGTGAGTGAGTCAGTCAGTGAGTCAGTGAGGGCTTTGCCTTTTATATATATAGACTAGCTGTACCGAAGTTCGTTCGCTACGCTCACTCACCTTTAGCCCCCATCAGTCTGGTCTTTCTTCTAGAACTGGAATTGTATACCTTGGAATTGGTCTCCCTCGTGTTCGCAGAAGAAAGTATACGGCCTGGAATTGCACCCCTCCTTTTAATTCAGTCCTTTTCATGCGCTGATATTATAATGGCTTTGATATCAATACTTTTATAATATGTGATTTTGAATTCAAACTAAAAACAAAGTCATCTCAAAATAAAATAAGCTAAATCCAATGTAGGCCGATGTCGTCTAACAAATCTTTAAGTAAAAGCTTTATTCCTTTAGTAAAAAAAAAATGTATTCACCTTAGGTGCCCTAGTTTTGAATATTATGTATAGGAGCTTCTCTATTGTGATTACCACGTAACATCAAACTAATATTTAGGTTGAAAACTATAGGTGAATCACACGAGAGGGATTTTATCTTATAGCTTTGCAAGTTACGTCTGATTCCCAAAGCCAATAGGTTAAACTCGTTTATGTTTTAGCACCAATTGAAGAGAGAATTCTGATGGAATCGTGTTTTATATATGCTTAAAACTTGACCCAACATAAGTCACTTTAGAAGACACTCACCACTATTTCATTTTTATTTTATTTTATTTTAATCCTTTAATGATACCACTTAAGTTTGTTGAAAGACGTTTGAAGATGTTACTTTTCGAAGGGGGGAAATTCCAGCCCGTACACTAGCCAAGCTACCTGTCCAAGAGGGGGGTACACGTCCAGGGAGGTACAATTCCACCACGTATATAAATAATTTGATGTTGGCAGGGGGTAGAATACTGGGGGGTACAATTCCAGGGGGGTACAATTACAGGCCGTACATCACCTGTTCTTTTTAATCTTTAATATAATCACCCGGTTCACTAATCACTGGCCCACATTCGATGGATTATATTCCGTTAAAATCAAAGTGTACGGGGTGGAATTGTTACCTCCCTTAGGTGTAACGTCAAAATGACGTCGACGATTAATTCCCTATCAAACGATACCAATTTTAAAAAGATCGATGAGAAATAGATGAAATATTACGATTTTTAGTTATAAAATGGTGTAGAATATGGCAGAGAGGTACAATTCCGGGCCGTACATCACTTGTATTTAAATCAGTGAAAAGGGTTTTTGAGATAATAATGTCTATATGTTAATCGGGGAGGTGAACTATCATTATGCCAAATGTCAGCCAAATCCGTCCAGTATTCGTGATTGAACTTTAAACAAACAAACACATACACAAACTTTCACATAGGTGTCAAAAAAGGAGCGGACATATTTTACCTAGCGATTCCTTGAGACGAAATAAAGAAAAAGTCAAGGATAACATTTTTCGAAAATCGCTTCATTAACCAGATATCCACCATTTTGTATTTTTTACATAAACATTTTTATCTTTGGTTTTTTACCAAACCGATCTTAACGCAACTTTGAATTTATGGTAAGGCAGGAGAGACCCGTGTTAGAAAGAAAATTCATCTTGATTCAACTCAAAGTTAATTTTATGAAAGAACTAACTGTACCCTCGGGCTTTGCCCCGTTTAACTTTATAAGTGAGCTCGTTCGCATGGCTCAATCACGTCCTGGTTGAAGTTCGTTCGCTACGCTCACTCACTTTTAGGTTGGAGCTCGTTTGCTGCGCTCACTTGCCTTCAGGTTAGCTCGTTCGCTACGCTAACTCGCCTCCAGGTTGAAGTTCGTTCGCTACGCTCACTCACCTTTTGGTTGCAAATTAGCTGTTGTCATAAATGTAAAAGAAATAATAGTGCTGCACCCTGTTGGTAATCCTTGTAACTTAAATGCTATTGAACATTATAGAACGGAACCAACTTGTTTAATTGAAACAGCTGTTAAGATTCATTAATTCCATTTAAATATGAGTACTCGTAAGGTTAACATGGGAAACTCCAAAGCTACTGGGGCGGAGCCCGAGAGTCCGATCAGAATAAAAACAGCTTAGTTTTCCTATTTAATGCCTAAAGAATCAGTGTACCAAATTTCAGCCTCCTAGGTAAATGGGAAGTAAGAGGGAGTGATGAGTGAGTGAGTCAGTCAGTGAGTCAGTGAGGGCTTTGCCTTTTATATATATAGACTAGCTGTACCGAAGTTCGTTCGCTACGCTCACTCACCTTTAGGTTGAGGCTCGTTCGCTGCGCTCACTTGCCTTCGGGTTAGCTCGTTCGCTACGCTAACTCGCCTCCAGGTTGAAGTTCGTTCGCTACGCTCACTCACCTTTTGGTTGCAAATTAGCTGTTGTCATAAATGTAAAAGAAATAATAGTGCTGCACCCTGTTGGTAATCCTTGTAACTTTAATGCTATTGCACATCATAGAACAGAATCAACTTGTTTAATTGAAACAGCCCCTTCAAAGACTATCCACCTCTAGTGATCTGCTCACTCAAGCAACTGGTTATATACTCATCTAATTATTCGGTATTACTCTGAAATGTTCCTATATTTTTAAATATAATTTGTAAATTAAAGTTTAAATATCTTTTTCGCTTCTAAGTAAAATTGTCTCATTCGCCGCTCCTCAAAACCCGTTCACAACATGTACTAATACTTTAATCTGAAATGGCATCCATACAAATTTTAGTATTTTTGGTATATTGTAAGGAAAACCTTGAACAGATAGTATAAGATAGTATAAAAATACCTTTCTTACTTTTACTTGGCATACTCTCTCTAAATAACAGTATGTTTTTGCAAAATAGGTTATACGTTGGAAACAATCTTGTGAGTAATCAATACAACGTCGTACTGCTGGATACAGGATTTTCACTGATTGAAGTTCCATACGGTTCGATGAGTAGACTGAAAGGAATGATATTTGGGAATGATCAAAGATTTTCAGAAATCACCAGTCAGAAATCTGTAAGTATGAACGACCGAGCTTTAGAATGTTTAGATTTCTCTTTCACAGCGGAGCCAAACCATTCCGTCGGAGTTTTGCCAACGGTTATCAGGTAGAAAGGGTACCCAACCGCGAATTCCTCATACTGCGGAGTTTTGCCATCGGTTTGGGGTGGGCGCGAGAGGGAGGGGGGAAGAGAGAGAGATAGCTTACCTAACTCATACAATTTCTCCCACTGTGACAAGCACACAACTGCATTCCTATGAACGCGGACATCACCCTGGTAGTCATCCCCAAGCGTAGACAACCCTGACAATCGCTCTCTCTCCCTCCCCCACACTCTCTTTCTTCCGCCCCCACCGTTGGCAAATCTCCAAGAGGTGGACGACTGCATCCCCCCATCTACCTGACACCCGTTGGCAAAACTACGGTTCCCAATCATTCCGATCCCAAGGAGATGCACAACTACTCCGATAGCTGAAAAATACAGAAACATATTCTGTAACTTTTTACACTTCGAATATCAAATTTAGAGTTCTTTAGATTTTGATTTTTGATTTTTTTTCAATGCATCACCTAGCGCAATGTATATAGTGATAGAGAGTTATAACTACAAATCATCTTTCAAGTGAAATAATGTTCACTAAGAGAGCAAGTCCGTAAAACCTCCTCATTATCCAATCATGACTATAAAATACCCCCGCCGCAGCAAACCTGCCGACTAAGCGAATTTCCATTTGTCTGGATTGATCTTCAATTAAAACTATTTAAATAACATTAAGTTTACCGAGTACCTAGGTTTGCTGCTACAAGGAAACTAAAATGGTGTGTTTTTTAGTAAAATATTAATAGCTTAGTACAAAATAAATAAAATTGCCAAGTTTTATCAAAATATACCCATAAGCAAGCAAACTACAACACTTTACAATATTCTCCATAAGAATAACATGGGAAGTTGTAATAAGAGTAGTTAACGTAATTAAGTTTTATAAAATATTATTCGTTCAATTTTGATGACATTTGGGCTGAATGAACCAGCACAATTGGGTTGTGGTTAGGAGATTTTAGTGGTTCGAAAGTGTTGAAAAAAGACTAAAATAATGTATTGAGGTCTTTTGTACAGGGAATATTCAAAAAAGAAACTGCACAATTCAAATTCATGTATTCTTATGAAGAAGTAAGCAGTTGTAGTTGGATTGTGTATGGATATATATATATTAATTATATTTAAAAATGTTATCTGTTTTATACTCTACAACATCCCCTGTAGAAATCTACGTAATAGTTATACCTAATCATATTAAAAGAGAATAGATATAAGACGTTTAAGGAAATCTTTTGTCTGTAGGTTTGCTGCGGCGGGGGTGTTTCCAATGCATGTACATTCAGTATCGAAACATTTGACGTAAATTGAAAACCACTGCCAACATGAATATGTTTTTAAACGGAATATGTGAATAGTATATTATTTTATTTTTTCAGTTTGATTGTTCTATGCTACCAGATACACTGCCAAACTTTGCGATTAGAATCGTAGATAAACAAGAACAGCTACGGGATCTTGTTTTGGAGCCGAAAGACTACATTCACTCTACCGTAAGTAACAAGTGTTATAGTATTAAACTTAAATTTATATTTTGTTTTTACTTGCATTGTTTTAAAAAAAATACAGAAATAAATTTTTTGAATTCTCTGCAAAAGCCCTAAAATTAAGCTAATTAAATATTGTTTTGTATTTGAGTTATATATCGATGATTTAAACTATAACTATAGTTGTTACCAATGGACTTTGTCACATTTGACTTCATAAGTATAAAATAAAACTATTGATTTCCGTGCCGGATTGGGTGTCACTTCGAAAAGCCTTTCAAGGTTACTTTGATGAAAAACAATGGACACCGAATGCAAGGGTTTGCAAGATTACTGTTTTCACCTGCTACATAGATGGTAGAATCAAAGTTAAGATCTCATATTAAAGAGGATGAAATTTTCTATAGTTCTGCGTTTCATTATTTCATTTATTTTTAATACACACCTTATAAACTTGATTTGTAGGAAAAGAAAAAAGGTCTTTTTCAACTAGCCCTAACTTATTGAAAAAACGTTATTTGAAAAACGCATAACTATAGATTGGTATGTGCGCTACTATAAGCCGTTTAGAGTGCGTAGCTATCATTATTGGTTAATTCGAAAACAGTAATCTTGGAAACGTCTGCAAGCGCTTCTCGCGGCACTGTCCAATGGTGCAACATAGTGTTACAAGTCAGGAGCCCCGCGCAACAATAGCCAGGCGCCGTCTCAAAAGGGTTGTTTGTTAAACGGGTTTCTTCGAACGCACGACTGATAGACAATAGACCCATGTCAACGGACTACCTCAATAGGGGCCCTAGAACCTTCTCAGTTCTACCCTGGTTTGTACACAACGGATACTCGAACTCTCTACTCTAGAATGTTCTACGGCAAACTTATACAGGGTGGTAAAAAAGTCCCTGGACAGTTAAATATTTTAAAAAATAATGCAGATAGAGCTACAATACTTGGTACAAAGTTACAGGGCATAAAACTCTATTTTAACACATATTCAGTGATCCAATAACTCTTCAGGGGGACGGCCCACAAGGAGTCGGAAGAAAATCTTAAATGGAAGCATAGGTCAATATGCAAATCAAATTAAAGGTCTTTTTTAGTAGAATACAATGCCGCAAACCGCACTTCAAAAGGTTGATCCTGCGCAAAATGGCAGATGTTCAAAGATGCATTTAATTTACATTGCTATTTACGCTTTCTCCTCAGGGGGCACAGCCCTAGGAATCGGAAGAAAATTGTTAACGTAAGAATAGGTCGATATGCACATCAAATTAAAGGTCTTCACTTGTAGATTACGATGCCATAAATTCAAGCTCAAAAGAATGCCTGAGTAAAAAATGCCAGTCGTTCAAAGATTCAAAATGGCGGATTCAAAAAAAATCTTTTAACATCTGCCATTTTGCGCAGGATCAACCTTTTGAAGTGCGGTTTGCGGCATTGTATTCTACTAAAAAAGGCCTTTAATTTTATGTGCATATTGACCTATGCTTCCATTTATGATTTTCTTCCGACTCCTTGTGGGCCGTCCCCCTGAAAAGTTATTGGATCACTGAATATGTGTTAAAATAGAGTTTTATGCCCTGTAAATTTGTACTAAGTATTGTAGCTCTATCTGCATTATTTTTTAAAATATTTAACTGTCCAGGGACTTTTTTACCACCCTGTATAAGGGACCGTCTTCCAGCACACGGCAGTTGAGTTGAGTTGAGCCTTCCGAGAATCGTCGCAGCAAGTGCCCGTCGGTGTTAGTGACCAGTGCTAGTGCTAGTGGCAGTGACAGTGTAGTGACAGTGAGAGTAACAGTGTAGTGACTCTAGTGACAGTGTAGTGACAGTGTTGTAACAGAAGTGATAAATCCTGTAGAGGCTAGCTGTAAGTAGAAACATTGTAAATTAGAATAGGCTTTAGCTAGGTTTAGATAGGGCTAGTTAGGTGTTAGGTAATTCTAATATCTGTAAATATAGAATAATTAGTATAAATAAATAGTTATTTTAAAATCGCCAAGTTTTATTTGTAAAGAACCTGCTAAGCCCGCAACAATTGGTGTCAGAAGTGGGATTATTTTGGCGATTTTATTTGTAAAAAAGAATTAAGGATTTTGTTAGATATTAGTAAGATTCAAGGTCTTTGTTACATATTAGTAATTTGTGTCGTAAATTTGTTTACAAAGGATAAAATCATTTATTGTAAAATTATTTTAATTGTTTTGCATAAAAATGGCTTTCAAAGGTGTAAAACTTGATGAATTAAAAGTAGCTGATCTTAGGAGAGAATTAGAAGAACGAGATCTAGATACTAGTGAAACTAAATCAGCCCTTCAGGCACGCCTTGAACAAGCTTTAATTGATGCAGGTGAAGACCTAGATAACGTTTTATTTGAAACATCTGATTTCAATAAAATGCTTAAAAACTTAGAGTCAAAAATGTCTGAAAATACTAAAACACTAGAATCAAAAATGTCAGAAAATAACAAAAACTTAGAAACTAGCATTGAGACAAAAATGCCAAATGTAGAATCAAAAATGTTGAACAAATTAGGTGAATATTCTAGCAAAGTTGATAGTTTAGAAAGTAGGATAAATGAAATCGATGAGAAAGTTATCGAGTTAAAGGTATAGGATCTTAAGTTAAGTTAACTAGTATAGAAAAGAGTCTAGAAGATAGGTTAGTTGATAAGCTTAGGCAGGAGATGGCTGCATCGGGGAGCTTCACACCTTCGTCATTGGCTGGCACTGACGAACTTCGGCAGGATAACACCCCAGAAACGATCTCCAAGCCAGCGCCCACCACTGCTGCCGTTGTCCCACAGAACATCGTTCCTCATTTCGATGGTAAAACTCCCTGGGAGGACTACATGCTTCTCTTCGAGACAGCGGCTATGGTCCATGGGTGGACCGAGGAGACAAAGGCTTCAGCACTGTGCCTTGCACTACGGGGCGATGCACTAGCTGTTCTGCATGCTATGCCAATGGCGGAGCGGAAGAATTTCGCTGAACTAGTAAGAAGATTGGACATGCGCTTCGGGCATCGACACATGGACCAGCTTTACCGATCTCAACTGCGGAACCGGATCCAGAAACCCAGTGAGTCACTTCAGGAGTTCGATGCCGACATTGCTCGCCTGGTGAGAAACGCCTATCCATCGGTCACGGATGATGTCTATGAGAGTTTGGCGGTGGATAAATTCCTAGACGGTCTACGTGAACCTGAGACTCAACAGGCAGTGAAGCTCGCCAGACCTAAGACCCTGAGTGACGCACTGACACAGGCACACTGTACGGCAGTCGGTGAGAGGTCAGGCCCGAGTCCGTGTGGCAGACGCAGAACCTACATCTCCGCTCGACATCGAGGAGCTGGTGAAACGAGTTCTGGAGGCGCTAAAAACACGTCGCCGGCAGATACGCTGTTGGAGCTGTGGACAGATGGGACATCCCCGGAGTAAATGTCCTTCGACCACATCAGAACCGAAGCAGGAAAACTAAGGAGGGTTGATGGAAAGGGGCAACCGTCAGCCCGCAATTTGACAGCCCCGAGGAATAGTGTAAAAGTTGCTTCACTGGGAAGTCAGTCAAGCAGTTTCTACATCGACGGAAAGGTGAACGGTCGTCTCCAAAGCTGTCTTCTGGATACTGGGGCGACTATGACAATTCTGAATCCGAACACTGTGTCAACTGAAGATATTTCACCAACATCATGGTCTTTGCGTACAGCTACAGGTCAGCTGGCTCAGGTCTACGGGCAGACGGTTGCTACCTTCCACATCGGCGGCTGCGTATTTAAACATTGCGCACTAGTTGCCGACATAGACGAGGACGTGATTTTGGGAACTGATATAATGGTGAAGTACGGATTGAAATTAGACATGTCAAGAGGATTAGTGACTCTCGGAGACGAAGATGTCATACTTCGGCGTGGAAAAGATATCTCTGCACGCGTACTTCTACTGGAGGACACAACGCTACCAGCGCGCAGTCAGGTCATCGTTCAAGCTACTGTCGAAGGAGATTGGACTAGTGGGCAAAGTGTTCTGCTGGAGCCAGCAAGTGACAGTGAATTCCAGCTTGGTCATGGTGTCTTTGTCGCCAGATCCTTATTTAATTTAGGACACGGAAATCCGGTACGACTGATGAACTTGAATGGTTTTCCTGTGACGATAAAAAGAGGAGTGGTGATCGGAACGTGCGTGGCTGTTAACTCAGTGGTACGACAACTAAAATCATGTCCGCCATCCCCAAATAGATTGCCGAAGGAGCTGGAAAATTTCGTGGAGAGCACCTGTCAGGATCTGACGCATCAGCAAAGTGCGAAAATAAGGGACTTCATTACCAGATGGCAAGATGTCTTCGAGTACGGAAGCGGACCTAGAGGAAGAACAAACATAGTACAGCACAAGATAGACACCGGAGATTCAAAACCCATACGTCAGGCTCCTAGACGACTCCCGCTAGCAAAACGTGACGAAGCTGAGAAAATCATAAAATAGATGGAAGCGGATGGTGTCATCGAGCCTTCTAGCAGCCCTTGGGTGTCACCTGTGGTACTAGTGAAGAAGAAGGACGGCTCAACAAGATTTTGCGTAGACTACCGCCTTCTCAACAATGTCACCAAGAAAGACAGTTACCCTCTCCCCAGGATTGATGACACACTCGACACTCTGGGAGGATGTCAAATATTCTCTTCTTTAGATCTCAGAAGTGGCTACTGGCAGGTCGGGCTCGCTCCTAAGGACAAGGAGAAGACAGCGTTCTCTATTGGGACAGGACTTTGGCAATTCACTGTGCTGCCTTTTGGACTTTGTAACGCCCCTGCTACTTTTGAAAGGCTTATGGAGAACATCCTCAGGGGATTGTCATGGGAGACATGCCTGGTTTACTTGGATGATATTATCGTCCTAGGAAAATCCTTCGAAGACCACCTGAAGAACCTGGAGAATGTCTTCATGCGACTGCGGATGGCTAATCTGAAGTTGAATCCCAAGAAATGCAATTTGTTCCGCAAACAGGTCAATTACCTCGGCCATGTCGTATCAGACAAAGGAGTATCTGTAGATCCGGAGAAGATCAGAGCCATCACCCATTGGCCAATACCACAGGATAAACACCAAGTTAGAAGCTTCCTTGGGCTGTGCGCTTACTACAGGAAATTTGTTAAGGGATTCGCTAATATTGCCAAACCGCTAACTAAGTTAACCGAAGACAAGAGAACCTTTGTTTGGGATAACGACTGCGAGAAAGCTTTTAAAGAGCTGAAGGCCAAATTATGCAGTGCACCCATATTGAGCTATCCACGATCAGACGAAAAGTTCATACTTGACACGGATGCCAGTAATACAGCAATTGGAGGAGTCCTTTCTCAGCTTCAGGACGGAGAAGAAAATGTGATCGGATACTTCAGTAAGGTCCTGTCAGCGCCTGAGCGTAATTACTGTGTCACCAGGAGGGAGCTTCTCGCAGTGGTTAAGTCCATAGAACACTTCCATAAGTACCTGTATGGAAGAAGGTTTCTCCTGAGAACCGACCATGCCGCACTGATGTGGTTGCTAAGATTCAAGTCTACTGAAGGACAGGTTGCGAGATGGTTAGAAAGATTATAGGAGTATGACTTCGAATCAATCCATCGTGCGGGGCCTAGCCACAGGAATGCAGATGCACTATCTAGAAGACCATGCGGGGACAGCTGCGCGCACTGCACACGCAAGGAAGACAAAAGTGCATCGGTTCATCGTGTGACCACCGTTGACGACGAATGGGATAGTAAGAGACTGTCAGAGGACCAGAAGGAAGACTCCGACCTAAGACACGTTATGCAGTGGAAGATGGACAATAAAGGAAGACCATCGTGGCAGGATATTGCTCCATTGTCTAAGAATGTGAAGACCTACTGGGCGCAGTGGAACTCGATTTTAATGGACGAAGGTGTTTTGAAGCGAGTCGTCGAATCGGAGGAAGGAGGGCACCGCAAACTCCAACTAATAATTCCAAAGAAGAGGGTTCCCGAAGTCCTAAGGGAAGTTCACGATGGAATTTCTGGAGGCCATCTTAGGGTACATCGTACACTGGTGAAAGTAAGGGAGCGCTTCTACTGGGCAAATCAGAGAGACGACGTTATAGACTGGTGCAGAAGGTGTGCGACATGTGCTGCTTCAAATGGCCCTGTCAACAAACGAAAAGCCCCAATGAAGAAATACAACGTAGGTGCCCCGTTTGAACGCATCGCCATTGACGTAGCAGGACCGTTCCCCATGTCAGATACTGGAAATAGATTTATTTTGGTTGCAATGGATTACTTCAGCAAATGGGTAGAGGCCTATGCATTGCCTAACCAGGAAGCGGTAACAGTTGCAGATATATTAATCAAGGAATTGGTGAGCAGATTTGGAGTCCCGCTCGAACTTCATTCTGACCAAGGAAGAAATTTTGAGTCTGCAGTATTCTCCAGAATGTGTGAAGTTCTTGGTATCCGTAAGACTCGAACAACACCTCTGCACCCACAGTCAGATGGCATGGTAGAACGCATGAACAGGACGATGGGAAGATATCTGTCAAAAGTTGTCTCCGAACATCAGCGGGACTGGGACCAATACCTGCACCTGTTCCTACTTGCGTATAGGAGTTCTGTCAACGAAACCACCGGCCAGACTCCAGCCAACGTAGTTTTTGGCCGAGAGCTCCGTCTTCCATGCGACCTGCAGTATGGCTTGAAGCCAGATGAATGTGTGGTTGGCGAGGACTACGTATCTGATCTGCGGAAGAGGATGGACAAGATACATGAAAAAGTCCGTCGCAACATATCTGGAGCAAGCGACAGGATGAAGGAGAGGTACGACGTGAAGGCCGAGAAAGGAGGGTTCACACCTGGAGACCTCGTGTGGCTACACAATCCCCGAAGGCGACGTGGATATTCACCAAAACTCCAGAACTCGTGGGAAGGACCTTATGAAGTTATTTCCCGGCTAAATGACGTCATCTACCGGATTAAGAAGCGACCTAATGGCAAACCCAAAATAGTCCATTTCAACAGGCTTGCACCCTACAAAGGAGATCACGCCCAACAAGATGAACAACAAGTTCGCAACATCTCAACCGAACCAAGAGACGTCGTGCCCGAGAAACGTGGAAAGGTGGAATTGAAACTGTCATATAAGGACCTCTTCACCTTGCCAGTGGATTATGCCTTTGCCCACTGCGTAGCAGAAGACCTGAGAGCGTCGCGAGGTATAGCCACAGTCTTCAGGAAAAAGTTTGGAGGGACTGAAGATCTTGAGCATCAGAGACCCGCCATTGGCACCACCCTTCACCTGAAGCGCAATAGACAGCATTTGTTCTACCTCGTTACGAAGGAAGCGCCAAGCCAGAAGCCCTCCTACGAATCGTTGAAGAAAAGCCTGCAAGACCTGCGAGACAAGCTTCTTCGGATTGGAATCAAAAAGCTTGCTATTCCAAGACTGGGATGTGGTTACGACGGACTGGAATGGAAGACTGTAAGAAATATGGTGCAGGAACTTTTCGAGGACACTGGCATCGACATTGTGGTCTGCGTATTCAACCCGTGGGGGACCGGAGACATTGGTCCAGAAGATCTCAAGCTTCGAGAGAAATCTGTTCTGGGGCAGAACAGTCTTAACGAGGGGGTAGTGTTACAAGTCAGGAGCCCCGCGCAACAATAGCCAGGCGCCGTCTCAAAAGGGTTGTTTGTTAAACGGGTTTCTTCGAACGCACGACTGATAGACAATAGACCCATGTCAACGACGGATCGACGGATCGGACTCGAACTCTCTACTCTAGAATGTTCTACGGCAAACTTATATAAGGGACCGTCTTCCAGCACACGGCAGTTGAGTTGAGTTGAGCCTTCCGAGAATCGTCGCAGCAAGTGCCCGTCGGTGTTAGTGACCAGTGCTAGTGCTAGTGGCAGTGACAGTGTAGTGACAGTGAGAGTAACAGTGTAGTGACTCTAGTGACAGTGTAGTGACAGTGTTGTAACAGAAGTGATAAATCCTGTAGAGGCTAGCTGTAAGTAGAAACATTGTAAATTAGAATAGGCTTTAGCTAGGTTTAGATAGGGTTAGTTAGGTGTTAGGTAATTCTAATATTTGTAAATATAGAATAATTAGTGTAAATAAATAGTTATTTTAAAATCGCCAAGTTTTGTTTGTAAAGAACCTGCTAAGCCCGCAACAATAGCAACTGAAGCCCGAGCTGAGATTTCCGAGCTGAGGTAGAGCGCACCTTATTAAGCTGGTAGGGCAGAGCCCTATAGTATATATAGTAGAGTAGAGTTTATAGTAGAGTCATGTACTGTACATTAAGTCTGTATTATACTGGCTCTACTCATGGACAAAATCAGCTCAATCCGTCTAGTAGTTTTCACGTTATTTACATACTCTAAACATTCATAACTTGAATATTAGTTACTTCCATTCAAGTAATGATTTGATCAGTAATGCACTAAAGTTATTAGCACGCTAGTCCGATCCCCCTAAATTTATTTTTGGGGAAAAACAAACACAATACTTCTTTATAATAATAATAAAAAAAAAAATTATAAAGTAAATTATAAAAAGGTTAAAAATATTTAAAGTCAATAGGTTGAAAAATTGTGAACAATATTTATTTCAAAATGAGTTTTGAAGATGAGATAAATATCACTGTAATTTGTAATGCATATTTTAGTTTTACAAAAAGAAATATATCATATAAGAAATTGTTACCAATGATTTTTAAACATTTAGAACTACATTTTTATATAAAACCAGTCTTTAATACAGATTTTTTTTAAATTCTTAATAATTTATCAAATGATCTACCTGTTTATAATAAATCAACATAATGGTTCTTCTGTAAACATAAAGCTTACATCAGATAACTACATAAGAATCTTAAACTTATTTAACTTTGCTGAACACCTTTTATCGACCAACCACAATTACACGAATTAAAAAAAAAAACTTACTACAATAATTTAATATATCAGTAGCCTTATCACTTGAACACCTAAATTAAAACATATATATTATAATAACACAATAACATAAATTGTTTGATGGGCTTATATTATTTGTAACATTTCATTGCAACGTAAAATGTAGGATTTTAATTTTTTTTTTCTCTATACATGAAAAATAACCATGTACCACTTGCTTAAGTAATCTTGGCTGGTCTTAATCAAAACTATAAACATATTTATGTAGTTCCATAATTATTATTTGGTTTCAGAAAGATCATCAAAAATGTTTCTGGAAGTTTTATGAAGGGATACCACAAAAGAGTAATTTCAAACTTGGTGTGGCTTTCATGCATAAGTACTACACCTTATTTGATTTTGAAAACAAGGAGATATCATTTGCGTTGGCGAATCAAGCGGTCACTGATGCAAAACCAAGTCAACCTGGCCCGATTGCAAAAACAACTCGAGACCCAGCAGAGCAGTTCAGAAACGCATTCGCAGGCCTTGGGGACCTTGGGGGCAATTTTATGATGGGCAAATAATTGTTTCAGTTTGACGTTGTCAGTCTCCCAAAAAGTATGTAAGACACACTTTTAAATTCAAATATAAAAACTGAACACTAATTTATTTGATTTACCTGAGAACACATCAATCATTTTCCTTTCAAAACCATCGAAGACAAGCAGAAAGAGCAAAAATATACCACTAGTACGTACAAAAGGCGTAAAAGATCAAAAAATAGCTAGACGGATGACAAGACAAGAGGACTTGTAACTCAATATTATGCATACAGTCGATTTATGGCTCACAAAAGTGACCCATTTCGGGACGAGATTGGGTTTTACATGCGAGTCGGAGACGAGTAGGAAAATACAGTATTGAGCCCTGAAATGAGTCTTTCGTGACGAGTACTGAACGATACTTTTCATTATGATAAAAAAAACTTCATCAAATGAATAAAGTTATCTGATATTTTGTAATTTTTCATTTTTCTAATCTAAACACAATACGGCTATACAATTAATTTTAGTGTAAATTTAGCTGATTGAACATCAACAAATAACCGGGAAATTCAGTTGTAACTTTTTTGATGTCAGGCAAAGTATTGTTCATGTGGCGAAAGTAATGTTTATGTCAGGAAAAGTTAGCTGATCACTATTTGTTTATGGGTACATGGAAATTGAAGATTTTCGAAGCTGTATGGAAATGGGCCATTTTCGAATACAGAGTGATGGAATAGTATATTTCATTACTAGGACCGAAAGTGGCATTTTCCGGCGCGCGCTCAAGTTTTTGTGTGAGGCAAAGCCGAACACAGGGAACACCAATTTCACGTGCGAGGCGAAGCCGAGGACGGGAATAATGGAGCAAGTGCCGGATAATAACTTTCGATACGAGTTATGAACGATACTTTTCATCACGACGCAAAAAAACACAGAATAGCAGACCTCATCAGTAATATATTACAATAATTATCTATCAAACAATTTGTTTAAACATAAAAATAAAATAAAATCTTCTAAAAGTAAACCGATGTTCATTTTTGTTTGATTTTTAAAACATAAAATAAAATAAAATATTCTAAAGGAAACCTTCGTATATTTCTCAATACTTACTTCAAACATCAAAATAAAAGATTAAAACTACTTTGAACAATACATACAGCTGATTTGAATCATTAAATTAAACCGTAACAAAACACTAGCGCGCGTAGTGAATAAATGGAAAACTAATTGAGAGCGAGGGAAAGTAAATTTAGAGCGAGGGAAAATCAGCTGATCGATTTTCCCTCGCCCTAAATTAGAGCTTGGGAAACGGCTACTTTCATTGATGTCAGCTGTTATCGAAAATAGTTACTTTCGGTGAGGAGTGATGAAAAAGTTTTATTTCTGAAAAACTGAAACCCTAAGCTAAAATTATGACTATGACATTCCCTATTTCTCAAAATTATCTTTCTATCACGAAAAATCATGGAAATCCGTCAAGTGGTTGATTCAGAATCGTGAAATAAAACAACCCTCTCACGTTTAATATATACGATGGTGATGATGATAATTCTATGCTCTAATACGTACTTTGTCTGTTTGTCCGTCTGTCTGTAATATATACAGTATCTCGAAATCCAGCGAAAGGATTTTGACACAATTTTTGAATTAGGGGCTTACAGCCCCATAAACGTTATTGGAGACAACCACTACCTCAAGAAATCTCGTATTCGCTAGACAACTCATTTAAAATTAAAAAATAACATTGGCCTTATGGGTTGTGGAATATAAATGGGAAATATTAAGATAACGAATCAACTGGTCAGTTCTGTACGAAAAGTTTAATTAAAATGGAAACTTACAACTTTAAGTTTATCTGTGATATACTTACTGCTTACTGCCATGGCCACTTGTACCCTAGCTGGTACTTGGCCTCGCCAACACGCTGTCGCCAATAGTCTCGGTCCCATGCATCTTCCTCTACAAGCCTCATCCTTTCCAAATCTTTTCGTACTTGACCCCACCACCTGTGATATATCCTTCGAAATTCAGTAGATAGCCTACATTGTCAATCGCGTTAAAAATAAATTTATCTACGAAATTGTATACAGATGTATAAAAACTGGATACATACATTCTAATTTCAAATCCCAGATCTTCCAAAGATATTGGGCAACAGTCATGACTCATAGTTCAAACTTACATACTAATTACCAGACATTTAACAAATACCCTGGAGCAATTGTCGAGGGTAGTTAGTCATCATTGTTTTGGACAGAGTAGTTATTATTGGAAAATATAGAAGTGGAAGTTTCGAAATATTTAACAGCTCTACATCTAAAGGTTTAATCTATGCAATTAAACACTGTTTGGCCAGGCAGTGTGCCTGCAGCGCAGTCCGATCGACAGATAACTGTACTAGTGGAACCTTGATAAGAAGCCCCTCGATAACCAGTCGCCCTTGATAACAAGTGTCATTTTAAAACCCCCTAAAAATTATTTTACCCCTAATCACATGTTATTACAAACCTTGATAAGAAGTCAACCTTGATAACAAGTCTTATTTTACAATCCCCAAGAGATTCTTCTTATCAAGGTTCTACTGTATCTCGATATGGAGTATTTATGCGCAGTAATATCATGCGAAGTACCAGACTCACACAAACATACTTTTGGTCCGAGTGGTCCAACCTATTTGGTCCACCGGGATTGCGCCACTAGGGTCAGGTAGGCACCGGGAAAGCGCCACTGTCAAAGTACCGTTATTGCGCCAATGCGGCATTTCTTTTGTCTGAGATTTTTCTGAGAAACTACCCCACCAGTATGCAAATAATGGTGTCCACTTCTCATTCACAGTTCAAACGGTCGATCAACTTTAGTTTCTCCCTTTATTATCGGGTTAGGTTGGTTAGGTTAGGTTAGGTTCCACCCGATCACCCTGCTACCTGGCTACCTTGGGTAGCGTTGGCGCAATCCCGGTGCGTTCCAGGCTGACCCTTTTTAAATCTTACATAACTGGCGCAATCCCGGTCTTCCCACGATGGGTATTAAAGGGCTTAAAGCTAGGCGCCCACCGGGCAACTCAGCGGGTGACGCGGCGCGGCGCGACGCCGTGGAAAAAAGTTGCCACGTATCCGTGCCATGTTATCTTATGGACTGACGCCCACCTAGCAACCCAGCAGGTGGAGCAACGCGGCGCGGAAAAAAAACTTCTTCTCGAATCCGGCAGTGAGAATTCGGTGGAGAATTTCTTCCTCTCGTGTTGCCGCGCCTCCGTTGAGTTGCCTGGTGGGCGCGGGGTAGAGGCAGGGAAACGGCGTCTGCCCCTCGTCTGCCGCTCATTCGGGTGTTTTTGGAAAGTATCGCGAGCCCTTCGGGAGTGTTCGGGTCCGAATCGAAGTGCACTGTTCATCCCCTCCAAAAGAATAATTCTCCGCGCTGCCCCGCGCTTCCGCTAGAGTTGCTTGGTGGGCGCGAACCCTGGAGAAGCGGACGGAAGTTTTTCTCCGCGTCGCGCCGTGCCGCGTCGCGTCGCGTCACCCGCTGGGTTGCCCGGTGGGCGCCTACCAGAGAGTATTACTAGTGAAACTATTACCTTAAAACCTATATTTTCTAACACAGCGAGGTCATTGATCTAAAATCGTCGAATGGATATCTTTTGCAGGCAAAGTGGTTTTGTATTTGCATTCATAGAAGTACAGACATACAATATCTAATGGATTTTTATAATAAAATACAAATATTACACTAAGGACAGATCCGCTCTTTTCTCAGGTATATTCCTTTAAAGGGAAAATTTGTTTTAGTTTTAGCAAATTTCGAATGCAGTATACAAAAATCTGGTATTATATCGCTATATAATAAGCAATTAAGCAAGTCTCTTTGTAAAATTTGGACGCGGAACCCCGATTTAGTATTGTTTTGATGCCTCCAGAGGCCACAAAAAGCCTTTCGTGTAAACCTGTAAACCTACAATAATTATTCGAACGAGTTTGGGAACCAACAAGATTGAGCTATAAGAACGGGGTTGTATGGGGTAAACATTAGTTCATCCCAATTTTCTCCCAAAAACAAAAAGGTTTTGTGATTTCTCTATAAGTATTTTGTAGAGCTTAAATACAGCAGATAATGTAGATTGAAGCATAGTTGCACATTTTATGATTATGGAGAAAATAAAAAAATAATAAAACTGCAAATTTAAAGTTCCTATGTTAATCTTATGGAGATTGAATAAACTAACTACTTTAGTTTGAATGTTTATGGATATATTCCGATCAAATTTGGCATACTTTGATTTTATCTGAAGATATTTGGATTTTACAAATAAATTCACTTTATAAACTTCCTTGTAGCAGCAGACCAGAATTTTAGTATAACCTAATGTTTTTTAAGAACTGGATGAATCCGACGTATTTAAGGTAATGTTTAAGAAAATATGCAATCAGGCGAATGGAAATGCACTTAGTCTGCAGGCTTGCTGCGGTAGGGGCATTTATGTATTATAAAATACTACCGTATTTAACATAACCTATTGATGTTCTTTTTCTCTCTCAGAAGATGCACTCAGTTCAGCGTCCCACTCTTAGACAATACCTTGTACAATAGAGGCCGCGGGTCATAACGGGTGTCCGCTATAATACCTCAATAACCTCAACATAACCAACACTTCAGGACTTTGGACGTCTGAAAAAATAAAACATACAACAATACAACATGGAGAGTAATTTATCCAACCTCAATCAGGTTGTAGTTTAAGAAAGCCAGCCTATAGTAAAAATCTAATTTTGTAAATAGTTTTTCAAATATTTACAAATAGCGCATTCTGAGACTGTGGTTAAATATTCAACTGATCAACTGCTCAGCGTAAAAGTTGAATTCAAACTGTCACAAATAAAGTTGGTCAACATCACTAAATCTTTGAAATTAAAACAAAAAAATAAAAAAAAATGCTAGGGAAGGACGAGCATTAATTGCGCCAACTGACCAGGGTCTGGTAGTCGGGTATTCCTAAATTGCACCAACTACTCCAGGGAGCAACCCGATAAGTTCATTAACTGCGCCAAGTGGCGGCTCTCTTTGACTGTATAATTGAGTAGGTTAGGTTAGGTTAGGTTAGATTAGGTTAGGTAAGATAGATT